GCAGAGAAAAGTACAATTCACATGAGGAAAACACCCAGTGTGTCACTTACATCTGTTCATCCAGATTTAATGAAGATTCTAGGTGACATCAACAGTGATTTTACTAGGTAATTCTAACAACTTCTTAAATTAGGTGTCCTCTTTATAATAAGAAAAGAAGCCTTTAAAACCTAGCAACCCAGACCCTCTGCTTCCTTGAGTTTGACTATCTTCATGGGCACCAGTTCCAGACTGATCTGCAAACAGGGAAGTTGTGGTCACTCTCCAGGTGACTCCCTTAGCTTTTGAAATGTCTGCTGAGTTTGTGTTCTTGTTTTGGAATGTTTTTCATAGTCTAATTTATAATACATTTATTGCATTTTGAAACTCTTGTCTTACAGAGTGGATGAAGATGAAGAAATCATTGTGAAAGCAATGAGTGATTACTGGGTTGTTGGAAAAAAGTCTGATCAGCGGGAGCTATATGTTATTTTGAATCAAAAAAATGCAAACCTGATTGAAGTAAATGGTAAATAGGATTTGGCATTTGAGCAGAATTTGAGTGCTACTGATATTTTAAAACTGTCTTTTCTGTGTATAAAGAAACATGGTAAATATGTCACAACTGTTGAGGTTTTAAGCAAATGCCTTTAGTGCTGGTTTAGAAAAATCAGCATTTGATCCATTTTATGTTTTCCTATATGTGTGGCATAGTTCAGAAAAGCAGGTGACAGACTTAACCATGGGAAATTTGACAAGGACCAAAGGAAAGTTATTTACTATAATATGAAAAGAAACCTATTGTTTTACATAGATAATGTGCCTTTTTATATTCTGTGATTTAAAACACAGCTTCTTTTAAAATAATTATTTTATTTAACTTTATTTATGTATGTATGTACTTATTTTAATTTGACCAGAGAGGGACAGAGTAAGGAGGGGGTGATGAGAAAGCAGACTGCCAGGTTCGGGACTCGAACTGTGGTCGGCCACTTGGGATTTCAGCACCCTTAACCACCACACCACCTGCTGGCCCCTAAGACACAGCTTTTATATAAAGAGCTGCCAGGTTCATATGGCAGTTTACAACTGTCTCTGCCATGCTTTAGCAGAATAGTAGTGCAGAGATTTTCTTTCACCAGCGTTCCCCCAACCCCCAGAAGAATTTAAGGTACAAATAAATATGTATCATATAATCTTTGAAGTAAGAACCTTGATTCCTCACTTACTATTTTCTGTTCTTGTTCTTTTTGCAGAAGAGGTAAAGAAACTTTGTGCAACACAGTTCAATAACATATTCTTTTTGGATTGACTGGTAATGGCTCACTGACAACATCTTTACAAAAACTCAGTATTTTGTTTACCATTGCAAGTTATGGTCATATTATTGACTGGATTAATGACAATAGTAAAGCAATACTTGCTTTGAAGAATCAAATTTCTACTTGATCTGATGATCCCCTGAGGTTTTTAGATTTTAAATATTTATGTGGAATTAATTAAAAGTAGTCAGCTATATCTCTATCATTCCATTCTTTTGACATTATGTGAATATTTTACTGGAAATAAGACTAATAAATTGTTAAAGTTTTTAAAATGCTGTTTTTGCAGTGACTCTGTCCTCTTTGTTGCTTGTTTGTGGACTTCACCAGCAGTGGCTCATGCCCTGGGGATTTTAGAACTCATGGTCAGTTTTCTAGGGTTTCTCAGAGTTAAGGTTCCTTCTCTGGTCATGAAACCTGAAGCAGTAAATAGTAAGGCATTTGCCCGAAATAATGCTAGATTTTTTATCTTAAGTTCTACTATGAGTTTTACACTTTATCTAATATAAAGAATTTAATGATAAAATGCCACAGTGTGATCAAAACAAAAAGCTTTCATTTATCATGTGGATACTCCCTAGGAGCCACACTTTTTTGTGCCTCTTTGCAGTTGAAGTTTGCCTGAATTTTTACTTAACCTAAGTTTTTGTGGTCTAGACATCCTAGGGTGTGGGTAAAAACAAGCCAAGTAAGTAAAGTAGGAAGAAGCAGTATTTCCTCAGTCCTAAAACATGCTCTCTGTGGTCCCCTTCCCCTCACCTGTGGGCCTGCTACCTTAAAGAGGAGCGAGGAAATGGCTGTGTCAATCTGTAATGTTTCCATTTTCACTCAGTTCGGGTAGTTCACAGTTGCCCTGATGATTTCCTCAGGAGGATCACAGTGTGTGGTTTCTAGTCCAGGTGGCTCTGTGTGTGGGGGTTCACTCTGGCCGATTGCATGGCCTTAGAGCATGGACTGTGGTCAGTAGTTTTCTTGGTATGTATTCTGTGTTGCTTTCTGGTTTGTAACTCTATGTATTCAAAACATTTTAGTTTAGTTGCTTAAATTATCCATACTCTTGCCAACTCTTGTCTTCCTTTTTGGTTTCTTCCATCATAATTGTGGTTTTCTGCCAGAGACCTGCTCCAGCTGGGGTGGGTTGAGACTCGACGGAAGGCAATGCAAGCGAGAAGAAATTAGGCAGAAACCTCAATGCTCTTTAGCATGTTCTCAGCCGACTACAGTCAGAGCAAGCTCAAGACTGCAGCGTCTTTGGCTAGGTGACATACATATTTATTGAGGGATGTTTACAGGAGTAGGAGGAGTGAGGGAGAGTAAAAGATTTTACTGTAAAAATAGGGTATTCAAAACATGGGAATAACAATCATAAAACATGATGTCTGTTCTGTTTGATCAGGTATAAACAGTCACAGTCCTCTGGGCTAGAGAGTCCATTTGTCTGGCATATTTTCTTAGACCTTGATTACCAGGTAGAGTCTTTTGGGTGAGGGGGTTTTCAGCAAGCTTGATAGCTTCAGCCCCAGGCTGGAGGCCTAAATAGAAATCTTATTTGGTTAAGTAAAGACACGGTTAATAAATACTAAAATGGAATATCTATATTATCTCTGGGGTAATCTATAGCTAAGAGGGTGAGTGCCTAATGTCCATATGGGAAAGGAATGTGGTCTTGTGGGCAGCTTAAGGATTGTTCTAAAGGTTATCATGTATGTGTGACTCTGAGAGGGACTTCAGCATTCTTGTTATTTTCCAGGCAGGTGGGGTGAATCTCATGAAATAATTCCCATTCGTCACCACCTTAGGGATCCACATTCTTTTAGGATTATTAGTTGGTTTTACTGTAAAAGTTACAGTAAGGTTGGGGGTGTTATTTTACCCTTATGGGGTACCGTGACAGCAGTAGAGCCCATGGCAGAGAGATTGAAAGCAAAAACAGCACAAACCAGTACAGTACAACAAACACAGTTGAAAGCTTGAGCTCGTAACTGTAGCATTGCCTGCAGCTCTTCTCACCCAAGCCCTGCTTAGATGTGAGAGGCAGCTCTTTAGGCTCTGCCTGTGTTGGCTCCATGGCCTCCGCCAGTTTTCTTCCCTGGAATTCTGTTTTGGCAAGGCTAAAGTGTAGATTTATATGAGTAACGTCTCTTTGTGTTTGCTAGTTCTTTTATCATCTTTATTTTTACTCGTTAGGCAGGTTTTTAAATTATTATTCTATCTGTTCTTAATATCCCTTGCTGTTCTAGTCATCTTACTGAGAGTTGCCTGGTTCTTTTTTTTTTTTTTTTTTTTTAAGTTTTTGTTGTAGGGTACATGTGCTCATGAGAGAGAAAGTGAGAAATCACCCCACAGAGGGAATTGCCATGCCACAGTCCCTTATCCTTATCCTCCATTCTCTTTTTTTTTTTTAAAGTCTGATGTTTATTGCTGTTTTTGATTTTTAACTGAAAGGGATATAGAGAAGTCAGCAATCTCCCAGGTGTGGAGAGCCAAGATTAAGAACAGGATCATAGCTTATGTGAGAGACAAGAAAGGGGAAAAGCAAGAGAAGAAAAAGAGCAAACGGGGCTAACAAAACCAAAGGAACGAGAATGGAAAGGCAAGAACTACGGGAGGGGCAACGCTATTGTGTGTGTGTGTGTGTGTGCGTGTGTGTGTGTGTGTTTGTTCTGAAAAAATTTTTTTTATTATTTTACCTGAGCATCATCATAACATACTAAATGTGGTTCCCCATCTAGAATAAACTGCATAGTGGCTTAATCATGCATGTTATCCATAATATTCCATTTCTAATTTCATATATATATATGTTTTTTACCCCATGTCTGACCCTCTGCCCTATTCCACTCTCTTTCCTCCATTCTCCTCTTAGGATTTTGGGCACCCATGCACAGATGCCTGGAGTGATTTTCAAGCTGCCAGGTCCAGGGCTCAAACTGTGGTCAGCCACGTGGGAGTCCAGCATCTTAACCACCCACCATGCCAACTGCTGGCCCTTTTTGCATATCTTTCATTTTCATCCATCCCGTGTGGTTTTGTTTCTCTCATAAAGAATAACACTGGTGGAGTATTTTTAAATCTAATTATCTGTGTCCCCCACCACCACCACCACCACCTCCCGGGCAGAGGGGAGAATTAGCTTAATCTATTTACATTGGTAGTTACTAGTATACTTGCACTTTTCCCCACCATCTTTTGTGTTTTTGTGTACCATCATTTTCCTTTATTGTTTTCCTTTTGCCCAGATTTAAAATGGATTGATGATTTCATTTATTCCTGCATTGGCAGCTTTAGACTGTATTTTTATTCTTTTGGTTACCCTTTCAAGTTTTTAAAATTTAATATTACCCTTAAGCTTTAACTCAAATTATTAACCATAAGATTATCCCCAAACACCAAAAGTCCTCACCTAACCACCCATTGAGAGTTGTTTGGCGTATTTTAACAGTTGGGGCATTTGTGGGCAAGGACCAAGGAGGAGGTCCTATAAGAGGTGGTGTGTGAAGAACATAGGGTGGTTACCAGGGGCAAAGAAGGCATTGAGGGGGAGAGGGCTGAAGAAATATTCACATAACTTCATCTACCCCTCACTGTCATCTGATCATGTTACTAAATTCTGAACTTAATCACCAGTACTGTACTTTGACTTTTTAAAATATATATTTAATACACATTTGCTTAATATGCATATGTGTATATATTAATTTCACTCAGTTTTTAAAATTTGGGCATTTCAGTGATCTAACCACATAGCAGACCTCAAACACACTTGGGCTAAAGTAGGAGTATTTCAAAAACAATGAAATAACATTGTTTGGGATGTTTATTACTGTATTTACAGTTCTAAGGTATTTTACATTTGCATGTTCTTGTCACCAAGTAGTCTATTTTTTCTTTTTCTTGCTTGTGACGGTCTTGCTGAACTGAGATGTGGCCGTATCCTCTTTGGGGGGGCTCGGGGTGACATGAGAGGACGGAGCATCCACCGGCTCCTTGATCACAGTGATGTCAATGTCATAGTCTTGTCTTTTGGCCTCTTCCTCTCTCAAGATATTCAGCCTAAAAGCAAACATGAGAAGGCAGCTTTTTCTCTTTGAAATTTCAAAACCAGTTTTTATACTGTATGTCGTGTAAAGTAGTCCATACCTATATTTTGACAGGTGTTGAATATGTACACCAGGTGTAAATTGTCATCTAGCTGCCTGTCATATATGATGCCATATCTAGATAGTCCAAAACAAAATGTTCATACATGGAGCTGGCTTAGTGGCCTGGTGATTAAGGGAACTGGGCCCCACATGGCTAGCCACACTGTTTAAAACCTGACCCCAGTTGCCTGAAAAACATGCATGCCCAAAATAGAAAAATGGAGAAGAGACTGTGATGTGACTGCCCCGTTGAGGGTGCTTTCTCCCTCTCCTTTTGTCTCTGGTAAGCACACATGCCCTCTGACAAAAATTTTTAATTTTTTTCATGTATCAAAAGTGATTGTGGGAACCAGCAGTTAGCGTAATGGCTATGTCGCTGGACTCCCATGTAGTCGACCGCGGTTCGTGTCTCGGACCCGGTGGCTTAAAACTCACGCCGGGCGCGTGTGCGTGCGTGCCCAAGATCCCGAGAGGAGAATGGAGGAGAAGGGATTGCGGCGTGACCATCCCCCCTGGGGGGTGATTTCTCGCTTTCTGCCTCTATGTCTCTCTCTGTCTGTCTGGCGAGCGCACGCGCCCTACAGTGAAAATCTCTCCAAAAAAAA